TGAACATGAAATCAATGATGAAGCTGCTTTGTAAAAGAGAGCGATGCCACAGATGAGGATGACCCCAAGGAGGAGACTCTGATGTAGTCACAGCCACAGAAATGTGTTTGGGTGAAGAGGAAATCTGTGAAACTGATAATGAACCAAATGAAGAGTTGGACGAAAAGGATGACAACGTAGAAGCTGAATCCGCAATAGAAGAAAGATCCAAAGCTGTGAGTGAAAGTGAATCGGGGGAAGAGAGTGATGAATCAGCCCCAGCTGGAAATAAATCAGATGCCAACGAGACTGCAGGAGAAGAGGATCATTCAAATGACGAATCAGGAGCCGAACATTCAGAAACAAAGCCTGGGAATGAGACTCCAGATGAAAGTGCAGGAGAAGATCAAAACGAGGAAGAGGAAGAAGACACTAAGGTTCAAGCTTTAGTTCAAGAAGATGAAAAAGGGGAGGAGGGCAATGATGAAGGTGACGAAGGTGAAACAACAAGCGAAGGATCTGAAGAGGGTGGAAGTGACGAGGAGGAGCTCGCTGCTTCTGAAAGCGCTACGGAGTCCGCGGCTACGCGTGAAGGTCTCACGCCGGCTGCATCTTCAGCAGATGAGTTTGAAAAACGTGAAACGGCAGAAGAAGATTCGGGAGAGGCCGAAAGGGCGGCGGGTGAGATTACTGAAAGTGACGGTGGAGAAGAATGTGGAGCAGAGGGTGTATTAGCGGGAGAAGTTAACGGAGAAGAAGACAGCAGCGTGAGTGAAGACCATCGAGAAGATGCCATCGATGAGACAAACGATGGAACGGTAGGGCCCGATGACGTGGTGGAGCTGAGGCCGGATGAGGATGCTGAGAAATCATCGGAAAACAATGGCGAAGACATCGCAGTGGAAGATGTAGACGACGACAACGAGGAATCGGGGACAGAGGTCACGCAATGCGAGTGCATTAACGCCAATGGCAATGGCGGTGACCTCGGCGCCCCCGAAAAAGAGGAGGAAAAACATGAGGCGACCCTAAAGCACTGGATGGGGAACCAGGGAGACTCAGCCGACGGAGAAGATGAAGCCGAGGAAGACTCAGACGACCCGGAGGACGCCGCCGATCGCGGGGATCAAGATTTTGCTCCGAGCGATCGAGGCGAGGACACGACGGCGGCGGAGAAGGCGACGCTCGTCCCACTCGGCGCCTCGATCGGAGGGGACGCAGAGTCTGAGGATGGCGCCTACGCAGACGTCGAAGACTCCGAGACCGACGCAAACAGCCAAGAAGAGGCGAGGAGGCCCGATTCTGACGCTCAGAAGAGTGTTTCATCGTAGCTCGACTGTGACTCTGCAGAGGCTCGGGGGGGGGAGCTGGGGGAGGGAGAGGGAGGGAAGGGGGTTCACAACAAGTAGAAAGCAAATAGTACACACGTACTGAGTAGTCTGAGGCCATCGTTTTTATTTTAGGTCATCGAGTCCAACAAAAACTGTAAAGGGAAGGAAGCAGAAAGATTGTCTTGGATTGTTCTAATTTTATCTTTTAACAAGCACTAAAGAATAAAGCACTTTTTATCCAGAATGTATAATGCTGCGACTGAACACATGCACAACAAGTACGGTTCACGCAGTTGTAAAGGAATCATTAAAACTTGAATGTACATATTACACTCTACGAAGTTTGTATAGTTTAATGCAAAACTAAATGGGTCTTACGCACATACTGTAAACTGTAGTGTCTCTTCAAAGTACTGCAGTTCAACTGTTGCTGCTAAACATTTATTTGCAGGATTGAGTAAGTCTCTGTATGTGGTTCATCTAACCAAAAGTGTTCTTTGAAGATTTTTAGTTCTAAAATTAAGATTTGAAGTTATATATTTTTCTAGGTGATATTTCTGGAAAGCCAGGATATGCTGATGATATTTATTTTGAATGTAAAACTTACTATTATGCAGATACAGTACTGTTCACAACACCAGAGTAATATCATATAACTGTGTGATAGTTTTAGCTTGACTTCTGGAACAATCTGTAAGTAGCAAAAGTCAAAGCGGTGTCTTATGCATCATCACCGGCTCTGCTATTGTTCTGTATTTTAGACCATTCAAAACGGTGTTTACCAGTAAAATCAATATGCTATCTCTGTGGTAAAGAGATTCTTATCTTTCCTGAATGTAACGTATTTATTGTCTCTGACATAAAAATGATTTGAAAGTCTTTTTTTTGTCATTTGTTTGTATGAAACAATTTCAGACAAAACAGACATGGCAAATTGCACTGCATTACTTCCTCACTTCACACATTTACACATTACCAATCACTTGGAACATGAAAACATGACCTACTACTACTAGTTCACCGTGTGAGTACTATTTTGAAAGACAGTATATTGAATGCAAAATGGTCATAAGCAGCTACAACAGAACATGTGCCATGCGATTTGAAATGGACTCCAATAACAAATGTTTCCACACAGAGTGAAACTGAGTGTAAAACTCCATTAAATTAAAATGATCAATATCTAAAGAAAAAAAGAATTGAAACTATTGCTGATCCAATATCATCAACCACAGGGACTTTCGGGACTTTATGTCACCATCAATCAATTAAGACATTTTCTTGTTGGTACGGGATCTTTTTGTTACTATAAGATACTTGAACACATCCCATATATTCAACACAAGTACAATCAGATTCTGAGGGACGGTGGTGAATGAGTGCGCGAGCCGGTCTTTTGACACTCCCTCCGCTGTGCCAGCGCCATTAGACAAACTGATGGATGAGACTCTTACAGCGTTTCCATTTGCAGTCTCCCGTGGTCATGTGACATACATAATTGGTGTCACTCTGATTGACTGCATAACCACACAGCGTCGGGTATGTAAAGCCACCAACACGTCAACAATGTAGAATTAAGTTATTCCTCAATGAGGAGGCGTGACGGTCACACAAGATAATAATACTATTCCTCTATTCCTCTCTTTCAATACGTATCATCACCATCTGCTCTGTGTCAATGCCGCATTCCTGATTACATGAATCCAATCTTGGAATCTTCTGGAAAAAAAAGCAGAGTTTTATTTTTTATTTTTTAGGAAGCACCTGCTTTGCGGGCACAGAGCGATTTCCACGTCACACACTGGAAGAGTGCGGAACGTCATCCGGAGCACAATAAAAAAAAAAAGGGGGCTTTCCCTCGGCCGTGTTTACCCTCAGAGCGACTTGCCTCTGGACCAGCTGCACAGACCTGCTGCCGACTGCAGGACTGCAAACCCACGCTGCACACTGAGGGACAACGAGTTCATGAGCAATGAGTCATTTCACTGTGACAAAATATGAGAACAAAAAACGTAACAAATTGGACTCACTGTACTAAAATTCCTTTAAACACGCAGTGTGGTTGGTGGCTGTATGAAGGGGTGAATATCCCCGAGGAGCAGCAGGTGTGTCTGCTGAATGAGTTCAATTGTTGTTTATTGACAATCACTTTGTCTTTTGGAGTGTGACAGACGACACAAACGGTTCCCACACACACAGGAAGTCAAAGAGGGGCCTCTTGTAATGTGGAGGGGAATCAAAATCAAAAGAAGTGTGTGTGTTGAGGTGTGTGCGCGTGCATGCGTGTGGGCGTGTGTGTGTGTGTGTGTGTGTGTGTGTGTGTGTCTATGCACACGTGAATAAATTAGAGCTTGACAAACTTCCTGTTTACCCAATATTAAACATTCAATTTACAATTGATATTTTACATCAGGAATGTCCATTCTGACCACAAAGTATCACACACATCTGCACACAGAGCGGTTTTCGGACACATGCAGTGCACACTCACATTAATAACAGCAGTTCACTGGCAGCGTTTTGTTCTTTTGGCCACAACTGCGCGGGTAAAGGAGACCCACGCTCCCTTTCTTTCCCACCGTTGTTCAGGTTATCCTGTGGGGCCACTTATGACCCTTCTGCAGGCAGGATGCAATGTCTGGGGACCCCAGCAGGGCCGTACACAAGCATCCGCCAAGCCCTGGGAAGAAAACAAGGGCTGATGGAAAACCAGGAGAAGTTAGCAACCAGGACGCACTCAATAACACTCGCCATGCACCTGCAGCCTGTGTGTGTGTGTGTGTGTGTGTGCGTGTGCGGTGGAGTGAGGTTGTTTCTTCAGAGAACTACAGCGCTGCACCGTCCCCACACACAGCACAGGTGGTCCAAACAAAAACCTGTGAAGTGTTGCCCAGAGAGTAATATCCCCACGTTGCGTGTTGTATAAAGCCCCCCATAGGAAACAAACACTTCCGGTGCTGTAAGATTTATTGTTCCCCGATCTTATAGGTCACAGCGTACTCTGAATGATATCTTCCTCACAAGGCTCTTTGATTCCTCCTTAATAGCATTTAAAAGTCATTTAGGCAGCAAACCAGAAATACAAGGGTCATAATTACTGCCAGATATCTCAAGGACATATTGTTGTGTGTTTACAGTTTCCATTGCCGTGGAAGAGGGGTGTATTCCCCCCTCAGCGCATTGTGTGGTGAGAATAGGAAAGACCTGGTTAACGGCGCTGTGTGGTGTGAAAAGCCAAAGCATTGTTATACTTTGATAGATTGACCGCACATCAGCTTGCAATTCTTTTTTTCTTCCAATGCCACTGATTTTGCATCTGCATTCACATCCGCACCCCCTTCCTCCGGCCCAGATACAGACATACAAACATTACGCAACAGAAATCCCCAAAGTCCAACACTCTATTCAATCATTTTTACCCAGGAGGTCAATGTGAGGGTTATCTATTAATAGAAATGGCATGGCTGTTGGGAAAAACTTGAAAGGGTCTTGAAGTGGACCTGCTTCAGCAGAGTGAGGGTTGAAGACAAGACTGTCTGCGCCCCCTAGTGCCCACTTTAGGGATAATCCACCGGATACGGAGCCCCTCAGCAGTGCATGGACTTTGTTTATTGCTCATGTGTTGAACCTGTCTTAGATCGCTCTCTGGTTACATGCACACTCTTCTTTGTGTAATAACAATTAAGTGAAATGGAAATAAAAATGCATTCAGAAGTTTCCTGTTAATGATGTCTTAGACCTTAGCATGTGTATCCTCTACTACTTGACATTAGGCACTGATGTTAAAATGAGAGATAAGGACTTCCATTACAGATGTGTGCAGATATTCCAATATCAATAGTGAATATGTGGGTTTATAATAACAGTCGACCTGTCCATCTTGTGGCAAGAATGTGTACTGCTTTACAAAAGTAATAAACATGTCATAAACAGTCATAAACATGTACATACAAACAATACAGTGGAATAAACCACTCAAAAAATATGTCATTATGTAATTTGAAAAATGCCACTGTTACATATTACACATTTTAATGTACAACTATACACTGCCTTCTCTTTGAAATTTGACAAAACAAGACAAGACAAAGAATTTCTTCCAGAAAGTCCAGCAATTGAAGGTTTGATCAACAAAAACAAATTGACGTTCAGTCAGAAGGTGAGGGAATCTTTGTAATCAAGGAATTAAATAAATTAAATAAATAAAATGCTCTCTATTTACAGTAAACTCAATGTATTCCCCCGGGGGGACGCCCTGGTCTTCACCGAGAGAGAGTGAGTGAGAAAGAGAAGAAAGCAGAGAAAGAGAGCAAAAGAGAGAGCGAGAGAGAGACGTGTGTACAGACACATGTGAGAGTGACACACTGACTGACAGTTGGTTTCAATAAGGAAATTCGCGACATTGTATATCTGGAGCACATGTAAAGACGACGGACGGGGGACAAGTTCAAGGTATTTATCTGCTGTTCATCTCACACCACACAATAAATAGTGCAGGCAATAAATAACTATGTAATAGAGAAAGAATTAAAGAACGTTAGGTAGTTGACTGACATAGTAATTGCTGAGAAGCTGTGAAGTTAAAGATAATCGTAACAGAACAGCTATAATTTATTTTTATATATATATAAGACTATAAAATATCATTCATCACACAAGCAGTTTTAAACTATATTGTGACATCATCAATGAAATTAAATTCACACTCAAAAATAGAGATATATAGTGTGTGTGAAAAGTAGGGAAATGTAAAGATAGTTTTCTTAGATAATAACTACAAACGGTTTTGTTCAAATTAAAGCGTCTATTTGTTTTTAATTCACCATCCAACTAAAAGTTCTTCAAATAGATTCAGAAACAGCCGTTACAGCTGCACCGTAAATGAGAAACTAGATGCTTTCACATCTAGTTTGTCAGTTATTTATTATTTATAGTATGTTCACAAGTATAAATAACGTGTATGAATCTAAAAATACAAATTATCTCAGCTGAAAACATATTTTCCGCTTCCCCTTGTGAGGGGCATTTCTTTTGAGCTAATTTGTGTGAAACTAAATACGTTTTTCAGCACTGGGAATGAACTCACACAGCGCGGCCGGCAGTGGGAGAAGAGGCGAAGGAAACCAGTTCCAGTAGAGCTCATCTGCTTCATCAGGTACGAGCACACAAATCAACACACAGTAACTACCTGCAGGTTTGCAGGGTGGTCAGACTAAAAAAATATGGCCATCATAAATGCAGGATGGGCTGCAGTTGGAGTGGCCAGAAAAGAGTAAAAGGTGACAACTTCTACAAAGGAAAACAAAACCATGAGGCCTCCAACCCGTCGAATCACATCGTAAGTGGACCAGTTGTAAAGGAAAATAAGTTTTGCTACTTGGAAAATTAAAGATGAAAGTAATGTAATTTATTTGATATTAATCCATGTTAATTACCTCATTTATTTGCCAATTTTTTCAGTGACGTACTGGACAGTTTTAAATTATTTACACATTATATACACATTTTTCTCTTCTCTAGGCACAAAGCGGACAGAACTGCTCGGATACCGGTAATCACTCACCAGAAAACATTCAACAACCTTTCTACCGAAAGATATTAAGCATTCCTTTATGTGGTCAACTGAGCAGAGAGGCTACATTTAGCGATGGAAATCTTAAGTTGTGTTTCCTCTGTTATCATCTGAGGGGAAAGATGAGAATCTATGCAAAGTCAAATCTATGCTGCACCGACACTCTATGCTTCTTCCGCTTACTTATCTTTCAAATGTAGCCCCCAAAAAGAAAGCAACGAGTTGCTCAAATTCCCAATGTAAAGAATAGATGTAGTTATTATGAGGAGATACTAATACAGTATAGAATATACAGAAGAAATACATTTAATGGTAATATAAGAAGCCAATCTATCATCCAAAACGTTATTGGTTGTTATTCTGCATTCTTCTGGATAGTTAACCATGTATAACCATATATAACGTCCTGCATACCTGCAGAGCAACACTTTCCTCATCTAAAATTTTGCCTTTTTTTCATCTTTAGACGTGTTCGTGGCACAACACGACTTCAAAGCGACCAACAACAGCGATCTACCGTTCAAAAAGGGAGACAAATTCAAGGTTTTGCAAGAGTAAGTGGCGTCGTCCGTATTCCCCACCATGCAGAACGTGTGTGGTGGGTCGAACCTCTTTGCGCCTCTAACCTAAAGAAATGGACGTGCAATGTTTTATAGGAACGGAGAATGGTGGTTGGCCAAATCGTTAACGACTGGAGAGGAGGGCATGATACCCTGTAATTATGTAGCCAGAGCAGACACTCTGGAAGTGGAAAAGTAAGAGTCAATTTCATGCAATTTATCAGATTTTTCTATGAAATTTAAAAAACGTTTGTATGGGTTTGTCATTAGTTACATAAAGTTTGTTATTATGTCTTCTGCAGATGGTTTTTAAAGGACGTGAGTAGAAGACAGACCGAACAACTGCTTTTAGCTCCTGGAAATAAACCGGGAGCCTTTATAGTTCGAGCGAGTGAGACCTGTAAAGGTGACTTCCATCCGCCGGTTTTACTGTGACCACAAATTTGACCTTAGATGCAAAATTAAATTAAAAAATCTTAATGCCACAACTTCTCGTTTTTTCCCACTAGATTCCTTCTCGCTGTCAGTCAGAGACTATGTGAAAGAACAAGGAGATGTGGTAAAACACTACAAGATCCGCTGTTTGGATAAAGGTGGATACTACATCGCTCCCACCAACACGTTCCCATCCCTGCAGGAACTCGTCAATTACTACACGGGTGAGTAAAACACTTTGATTGATGCCTGCGTCACGCAAAACGAAGCAGATCTGCGTAACTTAAAGCCTTTAAACTATTAATTTATAATCAATGATGAAACACACGTCATGTGTGGGTCTGCAATAATACTGTTAACACTGATGATACCGTTGAGAACTGTTGAGACGTTGACTTTGAATTAAAAGGGGAAGTTATCTTCATGCAGTTCCGGTTTGAGAGGAGTGAACATATTTCCACTCCTCTGACTGAACCACAAGATAATAAGGTCGAACTTTAGGTCGGCTTTCAACGCCCAGCAACGCATTAAAAAAGGGGAACACACGCTTTCTGGGTTATTTAGGGGAACGACACCCCATCAGAAGCTAAATCTGGCATGGAAAAAAAAAGAAGACATAGATGTTGCTCATTACATCCGCGTGTTCCTTGCTTGGGTGCAGGTACAGCCGACGGTTTGTGCCAGCGGCTGCAGGCCCCTTGTAAGGTTAAGGCGCCTGAGCCGCCGTGGGCGCAGGACGAGTGGGAGATTCCCAGAGAAACCTTGAAGTTGGTGAAGAAACTGGGGGCCGGGCAGTTTGGAGAAGTGTGGATGGGTGAGAGACGGCGGAGAGGGGAGCCTGTTTCCGGTCATTTACCGCATTTTATAAGCCACGGCTGTTTATAGAGGCCAGCCAGCTGAGTTCCCCGTTTTCATCTCTGCCGCAGGTTATTATAAGAACACGCAGAAGGTCGCTGTCAAGACGTTGAAGGAGGGAACGATGGAGCCCGAGGCCTTCCTGCAGGAGGCCAACCTGATGAAGCAGCTGCAGCATGAACGACTGGTGCGGCTCCACGCCGTGGTCACCAAGGAGCCCATCCTCATTGTCACCGAGTTCATGGTCAATGGTAAGACAAATACCATTTGTCAGTACAGGCAATGTGATTAATTATTGCATCTTGAGCTCAATTATATTTAACAATAAATGAGACTGAGGATGAGACTAATTGTTATTATATGGTCCTTTTTGACTACATTTGATTATACTGAATAGTATATAGTTTGTTGTGGAGAGAGCAAAATTTAAATACGGTAGGGATAAAAGATGACCTAAAAACCTTATTGAAGAATGTTTAACATCAAAACGCTTCACGGGTATAACATTTATTGCACGGTTGTGGTATTTAATTGTAAACGGCTGGTGTTTACACCATTGCATGTAAGAGCAGCTACTCTAAAGTTACTTGTGTATCACCCAAATTGCAGCAGCATCACAGATAAATGGTTGCTTCCAGTTTAACAGCCCACATGAAAACGTATTCTTTATTCTTGGCGTTCCAATTATCCTTCTTTCATTTGCAGGATGTCTTCTGGACTTTCTGAAATCAAACGAAGGGAAGAAGCTGAAGCTCAATAAGCTCATGGACATGTCCGCTCAGGTGGGAAACATAACGGCACACCTTTACCAAGAATGTGAATGCTCGGAAACATCCAGCATGTCGACTTTTCACAACACGCACCGTTTCTAATTTGGTTTTTAATTGTAGAAATACAGAAATGTTTTTCGCTGCTGTTGTTGAACAAACAAGTATTTTAACCTTGAGGGCTATTTATACCCACGCGCTTCTCTTTTGAATATCTGTTGCGGTATGGCGCCCCTGACACCGGCTATGGTGTAAATACACGTGGAAACTGACAGCAGCAAGCAGCCGCGTGGCTTCCGCGGTGAAGCTTTTGCTTGTCAGGCTTGAAAACCTCACGCTACGTCAATTATTAACATCCGGACAGGAAACCTTGCTATTTTTCCATTTACAGTGAGCTCCCTCGGAACTCTCTCGCCCCTCCTTTTGGCTTCCTGAGAGCCGGCGCATCCTGTTAGACCCTGTTTGCTGCCATTAACACACACGCAGGGACACACAAGCTGTTGCTGTCCATTTACTGTATGGGTTCAAATTGTGTTAAACCTTGCCGACTTTGATCGTATAATTCCTTCAGTGAGCTTCTTCCTCTGCGTGCCACAGATAGCTGAAGGCATGGCGTACATCGAGAGGAAGAACTACATCCACCGAGACGTGCGTGCAGCCAACATCCTGGTCAGCGACACCCTGACGTGCAAGATAGCAGACTTTGGCCTGGCCAGGATCATCGAGACAGAATACACAGCTCAGGAAGGTGCAGTGTTTCCCCGCTGTGAATGTTCTATGAATTAAGAGGAGTAAACACACATTCGGACACACACAGTGACACAGTTTCTTCTACTTCCCCCCGCCCCCCTCTTTGGGTCGCCAGGTGCCAAATTTCCCATCAAATGGACGGCTCCGAGGCCATCAATTTGGCACATTCAGCATCAAATCGGATGTGTGGTCCTTTGGAATCCTGCTCACGGAGATAGTCACCTATGGGAGGATACCCTACCCGGGTAAGGAGAAGAACCAGAAATTGCACAAAATTCTCATAGTAGTAGTAATGGTATTCTAAATATTATTTTTTGTTAATCAGGAATGACAAACCCAGAGGTGATCAGCAGCCTGGACAAGTTGTACAGGATGCCTTGTCCGGACGCCTGCCCCAAGGAGCTCTTTGACATAATGAACATGTGCTGGAGGCAGAAGCCGGAGGAACGGCCGACTTTTGACTTTCTGCAGAACACTCTCAACGACTACTTCATCGCCACGGAGGGACAGTATGAGATGCAGCCCTGATTAAATAAACGGTTTCCTGTTGATGATCAGGAGACAGCAACATGTTCTAAGCAGAGATGCGGGACCTGAGCGGATGAGGACCAACTAAACACAATTCTTTTAAAATCACGGTTTTGTTTGTACATAGTTGTTTTTTACGCATGAAATGGACGCATAGGTTGTGCATTCCCTTTGAGTGGATGTCAAAGCCGTTGATGCGCAGCAGCTCATAACACCGGAAGCGTTTTAACATCCTCCCTGATCGGGACGATGTACGACGGTTTGGAGCGTGGAAACATCATTTCAGCACATGAAGTAGGATGGCGTCTGGACGCGAGGAAGTCAAGTCCGCTCAGGTAATGTTACAGATAAATAATGTGCTTGGTGGAGAAAACAAGCAGCCTGAGATTAAATGTACAATACTTTGCACTTTTTAAATTCCTTCAGTCCGCCAGCGGCTACAGAAAAAGATAAAGGCCTTTTAACGACAATTTATACTTGCATCTATGTTCTTTGTGAATAAAAATATTTACATTACATCACATGGTTTTACATTCTACTCATGCAGTACGCTAAACACAACAGCTTCTTTTTGCGTCTCATAATAAAGATGACGGCCCTCTGAGGGAGGCTTTGCATGCACAGGATGCCCCACGTACACAAACACAATGACCACACTGAATGAGTCTGGAATTTTTAACTTAAATCTGTGATTGGAGGAAAATGCAGGCGACGTGAGATAGAAACTCAAAGTTGTAACACTAACTCTGCAGCTAGCTTGTGTGAGAGATGAGTGCCGTCACAAAGAAGTCTTCAAAGGTCAGAGTGGTTCATCGAGCTAACCCATCCGCCGGGGCCCGAGATGGCATCTCGATATGATAAGACATAAGTGGAATGGCCGCAGCAGCCAAGAGCTAAACGCCGCCACTTCCTGAGTGGAAGGGAAACAGGAAGTGTGAGTAAGCATTCCTCAAATACCACACAGTTAGAACCCCCGCCCCCCCATACCCCATTGGTTAAAGACAGCTTTCCTGTTGATCCTCAAAACTTTCTGAAACAGCGATGGCAAATTATCTTTTTATTATAAACAAATAAAGGCTATTCAAAATTCTATAATAACTTTGGAGGTTTTCTAACTGTCTGTTTAATATCAAACGTACGTATTATAATACTCATCCTGCAGAGGTCAGTGTCTCACAGCAAACCATGACATTTTTCTTTGCCAATTCTGCTGTTTAACCACGTGCAACGATGGTGGATTATCCAACAAAAATACTAAGAATCCATCAGTTGAGCATAAATTGAAATATTTGTGTAAAATAATGGGGATGTTACGGGACGCAGCTCCTTGATTACAGTTAAAAAAAACAAAAAAACAATGCAAGCGCAGATCATTACATGATGATGACCTGAGGTGACTACAAATTAATCCCCACGCTGTTTTAATAAGCAGCGTCACCTCGACAGGAGCCGCGATGTTGAGACAGTATGACAAGGCGTGTGGGGGGAGGTTGGGAGGCCTAATCACTCTTTTCCCTCCTCCTCTTCATCACTGCCGCGCTGCTTGAGGAGAATAATGACGGCTCACACACAGATTGATGAGTGATCCCTGCAGAAGGCAACACTTCATTAGCATCGTCCCAAGGTAACGCGGCGAAGACGAGCACATCAAGAGATGCGCTTTCATCTTCCGATAATGTTGCCTTTTTTTCACAGGCGTTGAATTGGGATCACGCTCCTTATAAACATGTTTTGTCTTCTGGGCTTTGATGTCATCATGTTAATGGAGTCCATCCATCAAGAGTGTCTGATGGATGCAAGGCCTTGTGATGATGATGATGATGATGATGAGCAAAGATGTATTAGAAGCGATTAGCAAAATGAGCGTTATTAACACACAAAGAGGTTCAGGGCTTGTAAACAAAAGATGTCTTGTGTATACATCATTCATAACCAAATATTCCCTTAACCTTTAAAATTGGCAAACAACTAAAACAAATATTATTTCCACACCTCATTTGTCAAGCGACAAACACAAAAAAAGGTCACAACACTTTCTCTAAGTGAAATAAAAAGATGAAGAGGCCATTCTTACGTTGTGCAGAGATGTGCGGTACATCAGGTTGACTTTATTCACCCCTTTTCGCACCAAAATGAAGTCTGCTGGAGGCCATTCATGCTGATGATATTTACTGTGGCGAGGCCGTGATTTATGGACCCCTGCATCCCCTTTTTTGTCAGGATGATTGGCAAAGATTTAGGAAACCATCTGCTAGTTTGATATTTTCTCTGATATATGAGTGTGTGTCAATTCATTTACCGGGAAGCCTTAAAGCCACGAGGCAGCAGGAACCGCTCCCCCTCCCCCGGCCCCCCACACTCAAATGTACCAGCTAATTGGCCACCATGGTTTTGCTCAATGATGAACCAAGGGCACCGGTAATTACAAGCAAATGAATTAAATGTGCGCTGGTGCAGTAAAAGGTACTAAAGGATACGTCTGTAGCCTGAAACGTATGCATTTAATAGTATCTTAGACTTACTGTCTCCTCTGTTTAGCATTAGAGGATGAAATTAGGTAATACGTTTTATAACAATATGAAGTATCGGACTAATAAACGATTTCTGGTATTGGTGCGAGGATCCATCTCTCAGCTAAATCTAGTGGCAGACTTACGTAACATCTGGAACGCTCGTGTCACGGACATATGTGTCTAGGAATATTTGACATTCTAGTCATGAAAAGAAAAGCAATTGAGAAGAATCCGAGAGTGGAGTTGTCGTAGTGTATGAATGACTGCGGATGGTAACATGCAGTGTTAAAGCGCTTTGAGTTATGGGAAGAATAAAGAAGAGTCCATTTGCCATCCAGCATAACGACACAAATCAAATTCTGCAAGTACTTGAGAGTCGTCAGGAGAGTGGAGAGTCGCTTATTGGATCGCTGCCTATCATTTTGAGTTCTCACTACTTATAAAGTTACTTTTCTGGGCACCGAACACAAAGCAATTTGTATTTTGGGTCTCTCCTCCTGCCAGCTGAAGTTAATTTAGGTATTTTCTGAGAAAAATGGGACACAAAGAAAGGGAGCAGAGGTTCAGACCCCTAGAAGGGGTTTGAAGGTGACCCCTCTCTCTTTTAAAATATCCTCTGCACTTAATGCATAATTTATTCATTAAAGACAAGCTTGTTGAACACCACCTGGATGAAATCATTACCATGTTGCAGTGTAAGAGATAAATCTGTCACTCAGGTAATGGGAAGGTGATGCATTCCTTAATGTGAGGTGTTAACATCAAGAACATATAATCACTACATATATAATAGTCAAATTATTCTACTATCAACAGTGGTAAATAAGACATGTTGAGTACAATAAATGCTTTAAATCCTCATGGCAAAACTCGCTGTAAATATTTGCAATCTGTAAAACACAAAATGTGCTGCAAAGGAATGTCAGACTCTGACTTAATGGAAAGCTGTGATCAATTATTAAATAGAAAATCTCCGTCTCAGTATTCCAAAACCTGCACGGCGATATGTAAATTCACTTAGCAGAACTTAGTGTTTTACCAAAATGACTCACAACATAAAGATGCAGCAGGGGTTACTATAGTGCAGTCCCGCAATTATGTGCAAACAAACACCCCAACAACATTATAATGACGCAGCACTAAAGTGCCGGATGTGTTGAGTGCTGTTGTGCAAAAGTAAAAAGCTAGAAAGCTAAAAAGCCTGAGTACTGCTTGTATGGATCGGTCCGGCTCCGTTCATTAAATGTCCTGAGGCACCTTTTCAGCGTGATTGAAGCTGTTGTTATCGTTAGACCTTCTCTAATTTCTTTAATTGCTGCTAGTAATCATTCCGAAATCAACCACTTTGATCAATTATGAAGCATTCTGACTTAAAAAATAAGCTCTTTCTTCTGATTGCCTTCGATTATGGCAGACTCCGATGCAACTGCAGAGGAAGTTGCCGAATGACTGAAGCATTTATTTAGATTAGGAGGCTTCTTCACGTCCAATACAAATAGAAAGCAAAAAATGTGTCTGCTCAAGCTGACAGAGGACTGGTGAGCACATGGAAACCATGGCAACCCCACAAAGAAGGGGGGAAAACATCAACTAAAAGGCTGTTAACGGACACAGGTAGGCGACATGATGCTGCCTCCATCTGTTACTTTTGCTTATGTTTTCAATGCAGTCATAAAATCCCATTTGCATGATGGGATTCAGAATCATAAGTCTGCAACACAGTTGCTGACTTTAATGACCTTGTATCATCGGACCGCAGTAGCGTGCGTGGCATGTCAGATTTCCTGTAGACAAGCCCTATTACGTTCCCACGAGGCAATGCGCTCAGCTTATCAACATGGTTCATCTTCTTGATAACATTGTGGTGTCTCGGGGAGCGAGGGGAGAGAAGGGGAGAGGGGGGTGGGATTGCGCAACGTATGGCGGGTGAGAATCATTGCGACCTGCTGCAGCTGTTGGGGTTTTGTACACGCAACGCATGCGCGAAAACAGCTGCTTATAAAACACTTCATGCTCACCGCATTTCTCATCGCAAGTTAAAAGAACTGGACCAACACTACAATACCACTATTTTATGTTTATGGTAAGCAGATAAGTCATTCCGACTCGTGCAATGTCCCTCAACCCCCCCCTCCCAATATCACTACATCACCTTGTTGCATTGCACACCAGCTGCTGCTTGGCTATTGGCACGCACCAACGCATCTGTGTTCCTAGTGGGCGGGACGTTCATCGCGGGAGCTGCGCGCGTACTCGAGGAGACGCGCAAAGTGTGAGAAACCCGATGGTCCGAGGTGCTGCTCGTGCGTGGAAGGTGCTTTTTCTTTTCTTCACCACCGGGGAAAGGGTCTGCAGGAATTGAACTGCGCGCCGCGTGGCAGACCGCGGGGGCAGTCTGCAGCACCGCGGAGCTCTCCAGGGTGCTGAACGAGCCCGTGCGCGTCCTTTCTGTCCGCCGACCTGTGCGCACCTGAGCTCTCCGTGCACACCGGGAAGAGGATGGACATCCGCGGTTCAGGACAGCGCATTTAACTCAGAACCCGCGGGTTGGAGGACTGGGTGGATTTAACACACCTAAATGAAGAATTCGCCGGTAGCCTTGGAGAAAATGTTTGGGAAGACATCGTTTATCACCTGCTTTCACTGGTTATCTATTTACTGACCAGCCGCCGGCGTTATTTCATCAATATGTTGAGATTGAGCTGCTGTGATTGAGTTGCCCTTCAAGCATTAGAGATCTGCTTTATAACCTGAGGAGAGCGACGGCGGGGACATGGCTCGCCTGCTGGTCCTGGTTAACTCCGTGGTCCTGTTGCTTTTTGGCAGCGACGTGTTCTTGGTAGCAGCAAGTGAGTATGAGCGTCTGGAGCGAGGAGTCACAACAATTATTGTTCACTTTGAAGCCTTTTGAAAGGCGCCATTGGCCATCAAAGTAGCACAAAGCTGTCCTGTTTGGTAGTCTAACCCGGCCTTTGTTGGATTTTGATCTGACTTGTTAATGCACTTAATTACACCTTTCATTCATAAACATAAAACAAGATATATTTTCTCTTTTGCTCGGGTCTACTAACCTAATATTCCTCATCTAGTAAATAAAATTGATTGCCATCAGATTAAGGTTTAAGACGGGCGGCTTGGAAACAATGGATTTAGGTTCACATCAATATAATAACAGCTAGAATAACCTTGGTAGTTTGCCCCATTCATGCATCTAATAACAAACACATATAAGCACATTTAGAGCAAGAACGCTGCTTTTCATTTTTTCCAAAAAGATAATCTGCACTACAGTCACATCAAGCCTTTTATCATTGTGTCGACACTTTCTATCTTATTTGGGTAAAAGAGGAACATTTAATTATTAAATGATGGCACCTGTGAAAATATTTAAAAGCTATCACGGGTGAACAGAATAAATGCAATTTCTTTTTTTTCAGTAATGCACCAATGAAAAAACTGTTCCAGATCATAAAAGAGATATACCCCTATAATAACTTGCATTCTTTCTATTTCCTATTCAGCTTCAGACTTAATGTGAATGGATCTTTCCTATTTCCGCAGCAGACATATTCTGCATGTGTTCATCTACAGGATCTCTTTCTCTATTATTCCTCGCCTCTCGGGGGAACTAGAGCGAGGCATGTGATAGCGCTTTGTGAAAATCAGATTGGCACTTCACTGCATATCTGTGGGTGTGCCGCTGATACAAATACACAGAGCTTTTGTCGCGTCCTACGCTGATTTGTGAAACACAAAAGCATCTCTGATTTCAGCGGAGTTCTGCATGGGGGCTGTCAAGAGCGGGATGACACACTTGTCGTATTCGTTACTGCAAGCATCCTGCGCGCTATGAGACAGTGGGATTCAAATTGGCATTCAGAGGCCTCTCAAAATTAATTGTAAGCTTCTTTGGTTTGTGAGGTGGTCCATAAAAATGTCAACAAAGCAGGAAACGGAAACATTTGCATCTTCTAATTTAATAAGTGGAATTTGCTTAAATAACTTGAGACTGGTACTAAAACTGCATATTGGTGGAGGATTTGTTCTCAAAGCATTTCATTCATCCAGCAATACTTATTCACATGACATTTTCTCTGCATGATCATGTATTTAAATCAGAAATTTGTTTCCAATATGTGAATTGCGTTGAGAAAAGTTCTAGTGCGATCTTCCCTAGAAAATGTGTTTTTTTCCAAACCGGAAATGAATGTCGGCAATAATATTTACACTCATACTATCTGAAAATCAGCATTGAAAACAAACACCCACACCGTCGGGCGAATGGCACATATGGAAATAGAATTTATTGGATTTACTTGGATAGCCAAGCTCATATCAATCTTAAAATTGGCAATCTGCTCTTCATAAAGCTCGTGACACACACTCAACATCTCGACGTTCTGCATTAGAGCTCAATCCATCATTGGGGGCCAATGTATGTTCATGTGGCACGTTGCAGACACTTTGCACATAACTATTTAGTTTAATCCTATATTGTATATGTTTTTGTATAATATAGTAACTCACGCTTGGAACCAGTCAACACACCAATGAAGCCAAAAGAATGAATGGTACAAACTCTGCAATCAACCACTGCAGGCCAGCCTTTAGATTTCGCTATGCAATAACGTTAGCTTGCTGCTAAAAGGCAAGGGGATTTGGCCAGTGATTACATTAACCCCAGACGGGGCCCCTGAGATGTAAGAAGACGCATGTGACTGAGCCACACCTGGCAGGGCGAACCCTTCCATCTTCATCCATCTACATGGCTACTTCATACTCTCGGCACTGCACTAGACGGATAGTAGAGAAAGATGTTTAATCACATGACGCCACTGCTCCCACAGGGTGAGGCAAGATTGCAGAAGGAAAAGGGGTTTGCAGATTAAACTGTAAAAAAAAGAAAAGAGAGGACTCAGGCTGCGATAAAACCAGCGCAACATTGCCGTGGGACCAACTCCTGTTGTGCAACAGATAACATTTGGACTTCCCACGACTGGGTTTGAAACACATCCACCGTTTGAAGATTTCCTGGGCTGAATATCAAAAATCCAGGCACCCGTTCTGAATTAATTGCCATCATTTATAAAATGTCAGTTAAGATGTCCTCTTTCAAGGGATTGCATTATTACCTTATAATTAGCTCTTCAAACTGTCACCAGTTTAAAGGTAATTGAGACTGAGCGTTTCCCGTTTTAAAAGTATTTGAAGCAATATGAATTATGCATCTTTTGAAGTTTATTGTGCAATCAATCGTTTGGAACATTTAACATTTATTGCAGAATAATGAGCTGAGCACTAATTAATGGCATCGACACTGTTTGTAAAATGAAGAAGTGGCAGCTTCTTCTGTTAATCTGAAATATACCCAGTCACAAAACAACGTGGTACACTTGAAAAATCATTCAAAAGAATCAACTTGATTCAATCTGCAGAAGACTTCCGATGCAAACTGAAATGCGTTGAATTACGACGGGTTCTTAGCATCCAGATACCGCATTTCTTCACGAATAGTGAAGATGATTGGAACACGGAGATGAACTGCCCCTCCCTGCAGGTGCAAATGTGTATTTGTCCACGAGTGCTCTCATTTAATAACCCACATCAGCTTCAAAACCCAAACACAAAAAGGCAGATGTATTGCTTTTTGCACTGGCCATGGATTTCCAACTGAATGCTTTTCCTCGGGCGTAAGAGGGAGGATGAGTTTGTTGGTTGTAAATCAAGCATAATATTCTTTTCATGTTTATACTCACAACACATGGGCGCGTGTGATCGAAAACAGGTCGTTTTAATAGAATAAATCAAAAAATGGTATTGTTTGACCATAAAAAGAAAACAACCTCTTCTCTTATCCTGTCGATATATAATATAAGCAAACAATAAACTAATTGTGTGTATTATAATTCAGGATGCATTGAGCTATTTGGCTTCGCAAGCAAACATAGAGGGCCAAATATGATACCTCGCTCTAATGGATCAAACTGGGCTCCCTTCCACGTGGCTCGCCAGACGTGTAGAGATTCACCCCCACTTCCAGCATCTCGCCGCGTGTTTCGGTTTGAGGCGGATCAGCTGGGGCGTTGTGGGTTGGCTGCACGCTGTGATTGGCCTGTCTTTACCATTTGTGTACATACACAGACGCCTCGGATGCTGTGACATGTTGCTGTTTGATCTGAGGTTGGTGGAGTCGGGGCTACTCGGAGCACGTGGCCGATAACAGGCGCCGAAGTATCGCCAATGACACTTATCACCGTTGAGGGGAACATCAAGCGAGGTAGACGGGAGCACGGGGAAGAGGATCAATGCAAAAAAACTAATGTGTCCTGTGTTGGATAAACATTACACCTGAAGTGTGTCTACAGTCCGACGCACATTGAAGCTTCATATTGTTTAGCTGTCGAGCGGTCAGACCCCATCCAATAAATCACCTCGTAAGTGTGTATTGGCCGTTGTGTAGTCGCAAAAAATAAAAAGCCTCTATGTGGCTTTTCAGAAATATGACGCTGTCCATTCCGCGTTAATATCCTGACATGTTTTATGTAATTGTGCTGTTAATAGACTCTATTATAAGATCATTAGCATAATATTCACATATTCATGACACAAAATAGATTAGTTGTTTATGAATCAGCAGCCATTATTGTAAATATATGTATGACTCATTCCCGATGGTCTCCAAAGAGGACAATATACACATCTATCCCAGCACATTAGTACTCGCTTCCATAAATAATCTTCTCATTAAATGGCCAAAATGAAACAAAAATGACCTGTTAACCTCTCGATACCGGCGTTGCCTCCAAACCCTCCTCTCTCGTCGCTCTCTCTACATGTGTAGACAAGAGGGAATTAATGTTCTAACTGTACAGTTAGAACATTAATTCCCTCTTGTCTTAATTAAAACATTAACATTAATTCCCTCCCCACCACCGTCTAAGCTACTCGCCGGCTTTTTATTCACCATTCATTCAATCCGCTCCACAAACCAATCTGGGAGCGCGTTGTGAGGGGCGGGAACCGAGCCTCATGCCTGCGTTTGACCGTGACCCCTTCCCGCCGTAGGTCATGAGGTCACAAGGGCAGAGAGGGGGAGATCGATAGGCCCCGACTGACCAGAGGGACTTACGGCCCGCCTCAATGTCACCTTATTAAAACCCGACACAGAGGCCATCATAGATTGTCTGCGAGATAAAAACAGACACACGAGCAGGAAGCTTAAGAGACCAAAAAAGGGAGGGTTGAAAGGGGAGACATTGGGAGATAAGAGGAGAGCGATGGGAGAGGGACCCACAGCTAGAAAGCTGCCGACGCATTAAAATGCCTCCTGATTTCATCATTTTGTGTCCCTTTCTTTCTCAAATTTCATCATGCCTGTGCCTCTAGGCGCGGGCTGTCCATCTCAAGATAACCCTGTTATGGGTCATTACACTCGTGCCATGCGGGTTGGTGGAAGAGGTTGTTACTGGACAACTGTCGATTACCCCTCTCGTTGTGGTGAACCGCAGTGGAGGGCTGTGACTTACCACTGACGAGCAGCCGTGACGCTGTAGCTCATTGGGAGACGCACGTAGGAGGTTATTATGTCCTCTGATGCCGTCCCCATAGGAACCGGTTCTTTTTGTCAGCCCGAAACACACTCGGCGGTCTCAACATTGCTTCAGCTGAAGTCTGTTGCAGCCTACATGGACGACAAACCGCCCGGGATGGGCTCTAAATTCCCCATTTACACCAGCCAATCCCATATTACCCGAGCAATCGCTAGGGGGGGGCGAAGCCGTACTGTGCCCCCTCTGTTAGATCCGCCACACTCTGCCTCTCCTCCCCGATTGCCTCTCTGCCTTTTTGTCCCACTTTTCAATCAACTCTCAACTCACAAATCATGACGGATGGCTGCAAGGCGACGCGGCGGAGTAAGGTGACCCGGTCCGACGGGGTGGAGGGGGTCGGACGTTAAATAGACACGGCGACTGCTGTGTTGACGGGTTGACAGACGAGGCCGTTAAGAGGGCAAACATGATGTACACTGTATCTATTTTTACACACATGGATTTGTCACATGTCACAAATGCTGCCTTAGTAAAACAGTTGATGTTTACGACGATATGAGTGTTTGTTTGTTTGCTTAGATGCTTAAATCCTCCAGTAGCAAAGGTTAAGATGGTAAAAGCAGTGAGGCCTCAGCACAGAGCAGCTGAGAGCTGGTGGTTTATTGGTCTAAAGCCCGTGGATACGAAAACATTGAGAGTGGTTCCCGGAGGTGAGAGGAACAACGGCAATGTAATTGAGTGCAATAAATCTCGGCGTCGCCGTGAATTCATGACGTCCCCCAGTTTCACTGGGACGAGATTGACCGGCCCGGTTTCCCCCAGAGTGCCGCTTTATTTCCCTCCGCTTACGTTCATCTACCAACACGACTACATACGCATCTGGACGACACTTTTAATTAAAAAGAGACAAATGTGATGAGCTCAGCTCAATGCTTAAGTGTGCAGGGTGCAGGTTGCACACACACGCGGTTTGGATAATTTAGAACGGGTGGATTAACAGACCCCTCCCTCCCCTTTCTGTTTCTGTTACCCTCAGACCGACCACCGGCTCCCGTCAACGTGTCCGTCACGCACCTGCGAGCCGACTCGGCCACCGTTTCCTGGGAGGTTCCAGAGGGGGACATTGTGATTGGTTTCTCAATCTCGCAACAGGTATTGTCCGGAACTTCTAATGAGCATCAGGGAGATTGTGGATGGTTGAAGACAAACGGCATTTGGAGTGCGCTCAGCAAACACTTATTATCACCTATCATTAGTTTGTACAAAACACAGGGAGTAAAGTTCCACGAGTGAATAAAGATGTGTTTTCGTCCAGGTGCATATATTCTAAGGAGCCTAGTAAAGCTTTGCTTGGCATGCAGAAAGGCCGTTTCTTTAAATAAAATCTTTATTGCTGAAATAAAATTCTGAAAGGTCAAAGAGGAAGTCTGAGACACAGAGAGCTTGTGATTCAGGGCACTTGCAGTCTAAATTAATCAAAGTATCGACCCCGCAGTCAAGATTCCACACGGTGAGACAGAATTGCCAACTGTTATTATGATAAACTACCCAGCATGTTGCTCTCAAACACCTTGAACGCCGTCTGGTCACCTCCAACTCACATTATCACGCCCTACAGGGAGTTTAAATGATTTCTTTTAGCTTTTTGCACGATGCTATGAAGATCTACACCACGATGCTTCTTGGAGAAGAGCGTCGTCTCTTCCTGAGGGACGCATCGCATGGCAATCACCCTCATGGACCGGTTATTGTGTCCCCCTTGCAACCCCAGAGGCAGGAAGGACACACGCAGCGGTTCATCAGAGAAGTGAACACCACGAGCCGCTCTTGTGTCCTTTGGGACCTGGAGGAGGAGACGGACTACGTCATACAGGTTCAGTCGATCGGCCTCTACGGGGAGAGCCAGGCCACCAAGAAGGTCCATTTTCGCACCCTGAAGAAGACCGACCGCTTCCCCTCCAACAGCTCCAATCAGGGTGAGCTGCTCGGGGACACGGGTAATTAAAATGACCGTTGAGAGTAGGGGCTCCTGCACTGAACGTTTATATTTTTCGTTAAAAACACAATGTTGAGTTGCTCAATTTATGCAACTCTGCGTCCCTCCGGGTACTTAATCCGGATTTGGACACAGTCTCAAGCACTGTGGATTCAGTGTCTGTGCTCCTCAGCTCGAGGAAATGTGACAAACAATAGAGAATATCCTACGTCCTAAAAGATATGCTTTTAAAAACACCAGTTCAATTGCACAAATGAAATAATCCAACATACTAGTTGGAGACACCTCTTTTAGCCATAATATCAATTACGTTGTTTTATGAAAATGAAATGTGTTTCTTGACATTTTCTAAAAAGGATGTTCCCAACGTTTGGAGGCAACGTCCACATATGTATTCGTCATAGCACTTAATGTGCCTCAGTGCAATATGGATTTTCTTGTGTAGGATGTTGCTGGTTTTGTTGCTTAAAAGGCCCTTTTAATGGAGTTGGCTGTTGCATCCCGGTGGCCTCTCAGAGATCCAAGTGCCTCGATTGAAAGTGAATTGATCTGCGGCATATTCCAGACTTTCCTAAAGGCGAGAGCCGCGAGACCCATGAATCAATCGGGCTTTCTATGTGTTCTTCAATACAATTCCCTTTGATAATGTGATTACATACTCCGCCTTTGAATGTACACCTGAGCTGGATTCAGAACCAATCTTTTTCATCCGAGGTATTTCCTGGCAAGAGCTTTAATTTAAGTATGATACTGTGATTTTCTTTTCCAAGGATCAATATGTCTTTCCAATGTCTACTTCAATTGCGTTATTCCACAGAAAGCTTTTAATCAGTTTATTTGTTTGTGTCCTTTGTGTGCTGTGCTGTGGTCAGGGGAGCAGGTTTTTGTTATATATTCCACTAATTGAATCACTTTGTATCAGATTTGCAAACTCCAAATATTTAGTAAGAACTCAAATAGAATCAATTTAAGAAGGATTCTCTTTCCTTCTGTGATTAGCCAGGAAAACAATTAATAGCCACAGTGCATACAAAAAAAATCACGTACTACATAAAGCAAGAGGAAAATAACGTATATGTTCGCGAGAGCAGTTTCCCCCCGACACGGTTCACAGCTCCAAACAACACTGTGGGATTCGTGGAGAAACAGGGTCAACTAATTATCTCACAACAAACTGTCGGGTGCAGCGACGGCACCACGACCTGCTCATCCTCTGCTGCAGCACAGAACCACGCGGCATCGGCAACAACGTGAAATACACATAGATGTGTCATTGGGAAATGTTGTTCACTGACGCTGTGGTAGGAAACATATTGCATCGAACTGATGTCACATTTGCATTTAGCGTTCTGCACACAGTCAAGGCAATTTTGAATATAAGAAAAATAACACATTTGTTTTGATTTGGATATAGTTTGTCTCTCGTTCCATCAACACAGCCTCCAAGATTACAAAAAAAAACAGACGGTATTAAGCCCAATCCGTAATAGCTGTCGTGTGAAGCGAGCGGAGTTTCAGGCTTTCAGGGCCAGTTTCTTGCCAACTAGGATTCACTAAAAGAGGCAATTGGGATGAGTGGCGCCCTGGAAGAGTTCCATAAAGAAGATATATTAAGAGATAGCTTTGGGAAGTGGAAACAGAACCAAAGTCAATCCACTTAAAGAAGGATTAATGATACGGGACTCATCTGTGGTAATGCCCACCACATTTTCTAACATTATCAGTGCCATAACAGTCGTTAGAGATAACGGATGTGTCCACTTTCGCCGGTTATTACCCCTAAAATGAGGGTTTAAGATCTCACATTATTAACAAATCCCCTTTTCATGTAGAAGACGTTTAAGATGAAAAGGTTGTCAGTAGTTTAGGAGCCTGTGGTGACTGAACCTGTCCCGTATGTGCTCGGTCTCTCTCTCTCTCGTAGATGACCCCACTGTGCAGGGCCTGGACAAGTCCCGCCACCTGCAAACTGGAGAGATGATCATCATCGTGGTGGTCTTGGTCATGTGGGCAGGTAAGTTTTAAATAGGATGAGCTGTCATGCGGACATGGACATGCGTCATGAATAATAGGTAATGTCTCCATAATAAACTCTTTGTCACTGTTCTATTTATGGCTTGATTAGAGATACATATTCTATTTATATTTGCTGTCAGCCTCAATGATGTAGACTAATGGTGCTCACCTGATGGAGTTTTTGCACTGTATTAAAGTCACATAAATACATTCACAAACCAAAATAATGGAGTCAAGACAAATAGGATCCCTAAGTGGGAGTTGAAGTCAAAAATCTGAAAGAATAAATCTGCCAAAAGCCTGACGTCAGGACAACATCGGGCTTTTTCCGAGGCATTCTCTGAGACCGAGCTCTCCATCCGCGTATGAGTTTCTACTCCTTTGAGGAAGTGCGCTGATTAATGAAGTGCTGAGGTGCAATGAAAAGTGGCGGATCTGACAGCCTGCCAGCGACTGTGTTCCCCCGCCCCCGAGATGTTGAATAATACTAATGAGGGTAACCAGAGTAACGTGGAGGCTGCGCAGAGTGGGAGCGGAGGAATAAAAGCACCTCATGTGGCGCATCCATCGGGGCAAGTTGCCTCGCCCACGACTTTGTCATCACAGCTCATACAGCTACACTGCATTTTTTAATTTTGAGGAAAGTGTGTCATTAGACACCTCTACAATGATGCGTGAAAGATCATTTGTTAATTAAATAATTAGCTTTTCATGTCTCACAGCTCCCTAGTTTTCATTACCAGAATCCCGTCTTAGTTTTTGAATATTTAATGATGGCTTCTCGTGGAAATGCATGACCTCTGTGAAGCCAGGACGTTAATTGTGAGGCACACGCGCCACGCGGAGAAATGCTGAGCTCCAAAGCTTCCAGGCGGAGGCCCGTCCGTCGCGCTCCCTCGGGAGCAGAATTCCATCATCCACGCGGCCTCTGCACGTGCTCAGTAAGGGACCGTTTGCCGCCCCGACCACTGACTTCCTGTCCTCGTTTGCATGTTGTGTCGCACATGTTCCCGCCCCCAGCCGTCATCGCCCTGTTCTGCCGGCAGTATGACATCATCAAGGATAACGACTCGAGCAACAGCAAGGAGAAGGCCAAGCCGTCGTCAGAGCGGAGCACGCCGGAGCACCACAGCGAAGGGCTGCTGAGGAGCAAGGTGAGAGATCCAGAAGATGCTTAAGTGCAGCTTAAGCGCACATAAAGTAGGTTAACAGCAATGCAAGACATGAACTGATTTGATTTGCTGAAATGTAATTTCTATGTGTGTGTGCATTAATAATAGAAAGAGGGTTTCCTTTAAAGAAAAACAACTTACTGTATGGGGTGTGTTTCAGTGTTTTCAGCTTTTAGCTTTATAGCAGTTCGTCAAATCATTTTCCATCAGGGTGGAAATACATGTTAATATTTCCAACAGATGTAAAAACCTCTCCAAGCATCAGTATGTTGTGGAAATTAGGTTTGAGAGTTTTACCGTGAGATGCTCGGTGTTAAATTAAGGAAAAGGCAAGTTGATGCCTTGAGAAATGTAGGTCATAGGGTGAGTGAGAAACAGATCAAAGCTCCAATACGGTTGTAGCTGATCTATAATCAAGGTTATTTCCATTGGGAGTGTTGACACCTGGCTGGGATTTAATCATAAAGCAACTTATTGAGCTTAGATTGAAAGCAGCTGAGGGGAGCTGATTCTTCCTGTTGGCTTCTCTCTTATCTACCAGTCCTCAATAGGTGTTTGGATTTAAATGTCACAGACGTTCTCACGAGTAGTGAGAGTACATGGCTAAAATGCAACAAGAAATAAATATATTTCTTTCTTTTGTTATGCCTAAATCTTGTGGGGAAAGTAATACACTAATTCTAAATAATATTTAACTTGTCTGTTGCAGTTTCATCCTTCTGTGCCGTCTATCAACATCATTGAAGTTTGAGAAGAAGGAAGGACACATTTCTCTCTCTCTCTCTCTCTCTCTCTCTCTCTCTCTCTCTCTCTCTCGCCGCTACAATCAATACCTTCACCACTTTCCTCACTGATGAAGAAACCAGCTGGAAGGAAGGTGGTGTTTCATTGGCTCGTCATCAGCCAGTGAGGTTGTCTGAGGCCGTCTTTCCAAAACACATGCATGCACGTACGTGACGTTTGTAGAAAACTTGACACACACATCTGCTCACCTTAATACACACATACACACACACACACACACACACACACACACACACACTACAGTAGCTAACAGAAGCCTCTTCCTGCGGGCCGATGGCACACACACTAACTTAACTTTGATGACTTTGATGCCAAGTTATTGCAATACTGAACACTCAATCATCTCTGGGAGGCCGGTCTTCATGCCTTTAAATTCACAGTGTATTTTTGATATTGGCATGTGCAATTAGCCACCACGTTCGCCTGTTATAGGAAGCTCTGCATAAACAAACACTTTTTTGTTGATAATAATATTAAAGTAACATTTTCTGGATAGCGTTGTATTTTTTCACATTTCATAAGAAACTGTACATAATGTATTAAGTTACCAAAGTTGCATGCAGGTCCTTGTAGAATAGCATTTGATGTGTATTCTAACTTAGATGCCTAAAAATTGATAAATATACCCGATTGCAGTCCTGTGAAGCTGTTCATGTTTTCTTCTATTCAATCTGCTTTTAGAACACACCGTTCATCCAGTGTTTGATATCACATCGTGCTCATTACCTGACAATTGTATTTATTTCTCACATCAGTTCTAAAATAAACCTTCTTCACAAAGTCGCAGCTAATGTTAAGGAGTTTTTGTGTACATTTCCACTGTGGAAAAGCACTTTCACACACAAACTGCTCCTCATCTGTCACACACATGTATTTAGTGCATCAAATGTTGGCTTACAGCAAAGAAGAGTCACATAAAGTGGCTTAACACCGGCCATACAAAGTGATGCAAACACATTTGGTAATAATATAGTAGTTAATAATAATTCATTGCATGCAGTGCAGAGAAGTGGCGAATAAAATCCTGACCGGAGCAAGATTTCAAACATAAAAGTTCTGCGTTTATTTCATGTTACCACCCAACCAGAATATTAGGACAAGAGTTGGGACTGTTAATGTTTGATATTGGATTAAGCGGTCATCAATAAAAGAGCCCATCACATCAATATTCAGTAAATAAAAACAACATTTGACTGGTCCCTTTAGAGTCTACGTGACATACACTATCCTGTTTGCAGTGAGCTCAGATCTGCAAAATCCATCAGCAAAACAAGCAGGAGGCAGATGGGCTCTACATCAACTTATATCTGCATTCCTCTCCCAACATTAATCAGACTGAACCAGCGCAACCGTCTCACAGAGCACGCAAAATTTGATATGAAAATATGAAAGGAAAAAAACCCTCATCTGAGCCAGGTGGCAAACTCTTATTCTGAAAAACGAAGCCAATGCAGGTGTCTCCAATTAGTCTTTCCTCTGGCAGCAGGAGGTGACGCTTCTGGTTCAATAACAGAAGGAAATGACAAAATTACCATATTTCTCACTCTAACTTGTTACCTCGTTTGCCGAGGTAACAAGTTAGAGTGAGAAATAAAGTAATTTAAGTATGAGTTTATGGTCAGAATCGCTGGTTCAATTCGGGATATCTATTTATTAAATGTTGATACCCTCTAAAGTAAAAAAGATAATAAACCAGGTTACGGTATAAGGATGTCTTACCGTGATTGACAGGTTGCTTCCACTACTAGAGCCATGTAAGATGTCTCTACATCAATCTGCCGTGGTCAAAATATGATAAATTCAATGGTCGCAAAAAGTCAAGGTGGTGACAGCCAATCAAAACAGCAGATCAATGGGTGACGTCATGACGACGACCACTTCTGATCTATAAACGAGAGGAATCGTATTGTCGGGCATTGCTGAAGGCAATTTTTACAACTACGTATACAGCCAGCATGAAATAAACCTTGTAACTCAAATTTGGCTTCAACAATTCTATTCTAGACTAGAGAGGGGAAAAAAAAACTGTTGAGTGCAATGAAATATTTGTACAAAGTATTTTATTATGCATAACTATAGAACTAACCAACAGTTTCCAAATTCTGTACTGACCATCTTTCTTTTTTCACAGTTCAGGACAACTGCATGTGGTTTATAGACACATTGATGTTATCATGATAACACAATGCGGTTGAAAACCCACTAATTGCATAGATAGAAAATAAGCACCTTCTTTGAAAAGTAAAGCAATTCTGTAAACATCAGTAGTTAATTTGGGCGACGATATCGGAAATTTCTGAAAGCCTCAAATGTTTTCTGCCCTCAAACCTTCGCAGTCTGATTTGTATTCAGTGCACTCGATGCTCAAATCGACATGTTGTACCTCCAAGGGAAGGTCGGCCAGAAAACTCAGAATACCGGCTTACATGAAAGAAAACTCCAATCAATTCACGCCATGACAAAGTGTGTCCAGGCATTGATCAATTCTACACTTATGACCCAGAGTAATAAAATCACACTGCCTTTTTCCATGAAAATCAATTCAAAAGGGCAAAGTCTGGCTGAGGACTGTATCAAAGGGGGAATATCTAACAGAGACCAGAAAATAATGTAGCTTGTGTTTAAACTGTGAAGAAGCAACTCCGGCATTTATCCTTCGAATAAATGTGCTTCAAAACCCTGTTTGTTGGTTGTGTTTATTGAAAGCCATCATTGAGCGTGAGAGCTCCAAACATGAATCAGCCGATTCTGAAGCATCCACACAGGAATGGGAAACCTGCAGACGTGAGGTTGCAGGTAAGGCAAAACTGACGACGGTGCGTTTTGGCCGAAATGCAAACGTGGGCCCCCAGAGACGAACTGGAGGCTATTTGTCACCAACAAAACGGCGGAGATCACTTTCAGAGATGCGACTGAGTGTCGCAGAGTGTCGGCCACTCGTGAACAAAACAATGCAATCAAGCCACACGGCGTAACCCGACAGAGCCACCCAATCGTTCTGCAGCGGGTGTCATGACAACAACACGACCTCCAGCTGAGACACGATGCCGTGAATACAGATAGAGGACCACTTCAGACAGACCGGGGTAACATGTAATATCCCCCTGGCAGCCGACGTCATCCGAGAGTGATCTAAAAATAATACGTCTAGTCTAAGCAGAGCAATATTTTATATACAAGAAGATTTGGAACAAAGGCCCTTTTTTTGTGGCACAGGCTGCCGTTAAGAGAAGAAAGTGTGCACGGTGTCGATCAATGTAACGTGATTACTCAATTTAGGGCAGGATTATGACTTAGTAATTAAATACTGTACTTGGTTACTGAGGGTTAAATTGAAAAAATAAAGCAATTCCTGCAGTGATTTAAAGAAAAAACCCACATGCGATTATATTTTGTACAAATTGTCTCACCTAACACACACAGCCAAGTACACATTCACATCTCAACAAGGATAATTAATAAAAACAACCGTTGTGAAGCCCTGGTTCTATTCATCCTACTTCTTTTAGTCATATGCACACATAAATTATACAGCTTTGATATTGAAAAAATACAGAATAAGGAAATAGGTTTCTTCTTCACTCTGATAATTCGGCATTGCCGTGCACGTGTCCTCTTAACCTTACATCATTGCTATTCCGTAACAGCACCATCATCCTTATGTACAGTGGCAGCATTGAGGAGACGGAAGAATGTAAAGCAGTCATTGTAATTTGGTTTCAAAAGCCATGTTGATGTAGACAGGGATGAAATTCATTTTTACATGAATGTCAGCCTGTTTCTGGGGGAGAAAAGTCTGCTGTCGTGCCGTGTTTCCTTCACATTGCAAATATGATCTATTGACATTGCTAACACAAAGCACATGGGAATATACGGGAATATTACACACCAGATTCAATGGGTTAGTCGTGATCGGTACCACACCAAAACACAGGCATCGCGTCTTAGTGATGTCAAGCGGAAAGATGAAATAATAATACATAAAATATCATGACGGGTGATTTGAACCGGCTCTGCTGACGATTTCCATCAGAGTTTTCACACTCTCAGAAAGAGACGACAACCTTTTAATGTACACACATCTCTAAAACACTCGTTGCTCAGAATATCTTTAACCAAATTCCACGTGAAGTGAACCGTTTTTGTGAAGCGAGTTCAATATAAAAGACGGAGTCTCTCATCTTCTGTGTAATCTGCAGTGCTGCGCTGAACATTGTGTCCTTCCCTCATCCGGCCTTTAGTGAGAAGACGGCAGCAGCGTGTTGATTGGCGGTTTATAACATCGAGGCGTCCATTCCACAGAAGATTAAGCAGAGCGTCGCTGATTCAGGTCGTGAACCCGGGAAGCTCGACGTGTTCTCTGTGCTGCTCCAGGTTGGGCAGGTTTTTTTTTAGAACGTGTCATTCAAGCTCACTGAATCCGCTTCTTGTAGGAGGCCTCGCGGGGACTCAGAGCTGCATCCTCAGAGACGGGTTCGGAGCGGGACTCGGCCAGTCTGACGGAGACGGAAAGAGACGAGGTGAGAAAAGTAATACATATTCAGAGAGGTGAAAGGCAGGGAATAAATATGCCTATAAATGTTCAAATCCTGGTAGTTTCCCTCATGGAAGGGGTCTTTCAAGCATGTCAGCGCATCAAAGAAGGTCCATAAAATATGGCAACCACTTATTTGGAGGATTTGCATATTTCTGAAACGCCTGAAATTTAGCATTATTCTAAACGCAAGGCTTCATGCAACATGCAACGTCAAACGTGCAAACGCCATGTCGGTCCCGTCACTCACCGGTGTCCATCTCCTCTGCTTCCATGTTGCTGAATGCCAGAGAGAAGAAAGTAGCAGGAGGTTTAAATATGTGAAAGCACCAAGAATGTTTCTTATATAATAAATAATACAATAATTAAATTTATTTCGTAATAATGAATTTCATTTGGACACGGTTAAATAATTAAATTGTGTGAGGGTTAACTCCAACGTCACCAATGAATGAAGAATTCTGAAATTGAAATGAATAAATCTCTTTGGAAGGCAGTTGATGAATAACCATCTACTATTCTTACAATTAGAAATTTTTCCCACAGAGGCCTCAACCCTGACCTTCGCCGATACCGTTAATTAAAAGCCAGAGGACGATGCAGCAGCAGTGACCCCTAGAGGGTGTGCTGCTACATGCAAATGAAGTGGAATAACTAAGCAGACAACTGAATCTAGCAGAAGCATGAGCTTGACATCCTTGGTGACCTCTGAAGGGCAGGTCGGTAATCCGTCCCCCCCACTCAGATAGGTCTCACGGATGACCTGCCTCGCTCTTCTGATCTCCCTGCACACACGCGCGGCCACCCTGCTGTGTATAATCTCTGCCTCTCATTTACCCGTCTTAAGTCACCTATACCTCATACAGGTATAATTTGCATCCACTCTACATCACGGCCCTGGATGAATCTTCATCTTTTAACACCGTTTAGTTACCTGGGAAAAGGAGACTATTGTGTCAATCAAGGTGTCAAATGAAGTTTCTTTCCGGAAGGGTTACTGACAGCTGACCATCACTCTCAGGGCAAATGTCAAATGTGCTTGACAGCATTAAAATGGTGAGAACTATTTCTCTTTTGAACTGGAATCTACATAAAATGTATTTAATGCATGTGGTCTTCGAGGTGGAACCATTTAAGTATTTTGTGCACCAGAACAAGTCCGTCCCCTTCCCTGAAAAAAGAAAGAATAAATTGGCTACTTCAGCAGTATTTATGTGCAAAGGTTACCTTGAGAATGCATCATCGAGGCCATCGTCCACGTCCTGTAGGGACACAAACAATATCAATCAATACACACGTAAACTCAAATAACATCACTTCCAATCACTGACTGATGGATATATTTTATTAAAAATACAACATAAGTCTGGGAACATTATCTGCACAACACTTTCAATTTATATTAAATAGCCTTTTTTATTTAAGAGACACTAATAAATGTCATGTAATCAATATTCTCTACATTTACACTGACAGTAATGAAGCAATGAACCCGAGGCAAGGCACATGTAGAGGAACTATAAACAACACATCACTTAGAGAGGTATGAAAAATATTAAAGTGGACTACCTGATGAAATCAATCAATAAAATAATAATTACTACTAACAGGAAAATAAGTAACATTGAACACAGATGGATTTGCGACGTCAGCCTGTATGAGTGACATTCTCATTAATATGGGGCCACCTAGTGTTAAGAATCCGTAAGTGAACCCCAATGCTGCAACATAAACATTTAAAAGGTTTGTTTTTATGTATGTTTCTTTACTGCCTTTTCAAACTGCTACACAACAGTGTGCGCCTGCATTTTGTCTTCAGAAAGTAAAGTGAAATGGCTGACCATCATGAAATGGCGATGTCTATTTGCCAATGCAAACAGCGCTCACCGTAACCCTTCACTTTGGAATTCATACTATCGAACAACACGTGGACTGTTTTAAATATCTGAAATTTTACGAAAAACGTAGTAAACAGTTTTTGATACTTCTTCTTCTATTCTTTAGTCTTTTATTGATTTAATTGCAGACGAGAAGGTTTTCAGCATTCGGGGAGTTTTAATGAAAGGAGGAAGGAAATTATTATATATTATATACATATTATATATTTGACACACTGGACTGTTAAATAACAAAATATTGACGTGATTAAGCTTATGTAAAAACACTGATGACCTACTTTTAGCTAGATGATTATATTCCGTCTACTATGGAGGGAGGTGAACAGATTGAATACTTAAGTATCGGACCGGCGCCCTGAGTTGAAGAGAATAACTTGGACCTACCCAAGAGTCGTGTTTGATTGGTCGCCTTCGAGTGGGGTTACTGCGAGGCGAGGGCGAGCTGAGCGAAGCGGAGAAGAAGGGCCTCCGGAGCTTCTCCTCCGACCCGACGGGCCTGAGGGCCTCTGGATCTGAGGGAGGTGGCAGGTGTGGACGGGGAGGTTGGAAGGGACACGGGAGGAAACGGAAAGGACAGGACACGTGAAAAAGAAGAATTTCCCGTTCGGCAGCACAGAAGTAAAACATCAACTCTCAGCTTTCTCTGCAACAGGCAGGTTATTTAAAACACCGATGAACTTTTATAGGACCAAACACGTAGTAAGTAACAAGAAAGGATAAAGATTCCTCCAGTCGTATATGAGCAAAAGTGTTCATCCTGTTAGAAATAAGAAATGTAATATTTGCCGTTGAGCTTAATGGAATGTGCAGGAATGTGTTGCGGATGTGGACAAACCTGCAGGGACACACGGAGTGTCTGATGTCTGGGTCTGCCCTTTGCTTGCTGCACAGGAACAGCAGCTCCGGGCTTTTTTGTTTTTGTCTGCAGATAAATGAAAGTAAAATGTTTTGGTCCGAAAAAAAAAAACATGGAACCCAAAAGGATTCTTAGTCGCTGATTGGATGTTCGTGTGAACTTACCTTCCTGAGCAATCTCCCACATATCGAGGGCTACTTTAAAGGCCTGAGCTACTGTTAGTGTCACAGCTTGAGCCTGTAGAAAGAAGAAGAGATGAAAATTCACGGTGAAAGTATGAAACATATTGATTCATTTTGGTGCTCAATTAAAATGCCTTGTCTTTGATATCTTTAGTCCGATGAGTGAACCATCTACTGAGATGATGCGCTTTTCTAATGTCAACCCATTTTTCTATAAATTATTTCCATTTCTACCCGTACAAACATTTCTAAACACAGGCGGATGAGCTGTGAGGTCTCCGGCCACAAGGTGGAGCCACACACAAACTTTACTTTAAGCCACTGGCTCGAACAGGTGAATTCGAAACGACTCAGTCCTCAAACAAACTGACCATAAGACCCCGTACGCCCCACCGTGCATCTAAATAGATCCACACAAACACAGATATACACAACGAAATCACACTCACGATCTTCTTCTTCTGGCAGAGAAAAGCATGGCACTCCAGGGTCTCGTTGAACGGACTCTGAGAGACGTAAGCGAAGACCTTGTCCTGAGTCTTATCTGCTGTGCAGTACGAGATTCTGCAGGAGTACAGAGAGGACAAAAACACACTTTCAATCATCCCTAAAAAGATGCCTTCATGGTGATGAATGAGCAATTGCACCAAATACATATGTGTGTGTGTAATATGTGTATGAGCAGGTTTGAACCTTTCGTCCTCACACACTCAGGAGCTGAATGTCAGTGTGAGAGGGAAAGGTTACTCTGTTTTAATATAATACTAAGCTCAACGAGGAGAAAGAACAACACATCAAAGTGTGGTTTAAAGAGCGCAGGGCCGTCTTTCACCTGCTTTCATCATTTGAGGTTTTCTGAACTTCTTTTTTCTATCTATCATTCCTTCCGGCGAGATCCAATAACGTGAAAGTTAAATGTTGCAATAAAACACAGAAAAAAAGACCGCTCTCTGTGAAGTCCTCTGTTTTATATTTTGTTACAACATATATATATATATATATATATATATATATATATATATATATATATATATATATATATATATATATATAAAACAGGTTACCTCTATATGCTATTACTTGGTCATATTTGTCTCTTCAAAATCACAAAATCAACCAATATAGACACCTTGTGAATCTACCAAAAGCCAAACGTTATTTTCTGAAATAATAACCGCTTCATATTACTTCTGCTGAAATTTCTGAATTTCTGCTGTAACCATGGTCTTTTTGAATTTCCTTCTCCGACTATATTGCGCTTTGAGACCTTGCTCCTACATGCATCTCTTCTGGATCTAATATCTGTTTTTCAAGAAATCCAATTGCCTGCAAATCCAGTGACGGCCACGGCCAGTTATTTTCAACCGTAATCTAAAACCAATCTAGACAAAGACCACCGAGCCATTCGGCTTCCCAGCGACAGCTCGTACGGGTTTACTGAAGCGGCAGAAACGGAAAAAACAATGGATTTGTTTTTAGTGGGATTTTGTGCACGCTGTTGGAAGCCGCATCGATCTCGAGTGACGCCCTTCGTCTATCTGGGGTTGTTATCTGAACCAGCAGAGTGTGTCATGTTGGCGCTCCATCTTTGTCGCTATAGTTAAATATACACCACCCGCATCTTGTTGCTTTCACCCGTGTAACGCGGGGGGGAAAGCATTCCACGGGCTGAAGTCGTTGTCTTGGTGTGAAAAGGTCACAATTCAGCCATGCTTAAAATAAATGGGGCTACTCGGGGTCACTCTACTACGCATGTCATCACCGACGGGGGACACCATCCAAACCCGCAGTCGGTCCTGACTTCTAGACTGTGCTCAAAAGGGATCTGCAGCTATCAGCCGCTCTTTTGCTGGACCGCTTCAAGCAGAGCACTAAAAATAAAGTAATTTATTCTGCTAAAACAACAAGCGTGAAATCACCGGCGTTCGGAGATTGTTTGCCGGCTCGCTCCACTGATGCGTGACCCACATTGCAATGCCCATGACACCCGGCTCAGGATTTCCTCCGTCCTTTGACATTTATTTGGGCCTTAATTGCTAAAAAAAAAAAAAGGGAGTGGGGGAGGGTGTTGGGGGGGTTTGGTGAGGAAGGAAGAGAGAAGAGAGGGGGGTTGGAAAGGTTGTCCTATTTAAGTTTTACCAAACAACAAATATAACACTACAATCATCTTCGACTTTCTGCTCAGGATATTTGACGCAAAGCTGATTTCACTTCGAATGTGAATCCCGCTGCATTTGCTTTCTCTGCATTTCAATTTGTATATATTATTGATGAAGCGATGCATTATATACGCTGCACACTGGTGCACTCTGACGCTTTGCCAGCAGCAACCAAATCAAATCAATCAAAATCAATGCTATGAAATCAGTAACTGTAACAGCAAAGAGGTGTTCTGGTCATTTAAGCAACTATTTATTAATAATATAGAATTTATTTTTAAATATATCGACATCCAAGTGTTAGTTAAAAGGCCCTGATGTTTAAACAAAGGTTCTAACATCGTGGACAGCCGGATTTTGCCTGAAGCATGAAAATAAAAATTCGGCCTACAAAGAAAATGCCTGGAACTCACAACTCCTCTCTTAACAGTCCTCCAGCAGCAATCACACGCAAAATAAGCAAATAGGTCAGTGCACTTACGAGCCGAGACCTCAAAATAAGTAGCAGCAAGGATCAATAACTGTGGTGTGAGAATCGAGCCGGGTGCAGAATGAAAAATGATGTTGAACGCCTCCTCTCATCATAAGCAACTGTACATTCATCAAACAAAGAAGAAACAGTTGTTGTAATATACCATCCACGTGCAAGTAACGTAACTATCTCATCGGAGTGATTTCATCTTTTGGTGAAGACACATCGGCCCTTTTCATTAAGAGTCCTTTTCTACTGAGTGTGAGGAAACAAAGGTCTCCTAAAAATCCGAGTGCGTACACGTTTCACTCACTGCCACCGCACAGCGGCTGGCGTTCACAGAACAAGCCTCCAGCTTGAAACAACAGGGAAAGAGAATAATTGACGGCATCAACATTCCCGCTGTGCTGGAACAACAGGAGCCGGGCTGTCAGTCTGCATCATATCTCCAGAGGGGCTCCGCGGACCGCCAGCCTTTGATCTCCTCACTGTGAAGCGCGCCGGTGTTCAGGGAGGCAGAGAGGGAATATCAACGGAAGAATTTAAATATTTGCAGTACAAGGCGTGAATGAAACTTCCAAACATCCAACGCTGTGAATTCTCTGCGTGCACCGAATAAAGCACGCACGCCATTTAACTACAACGATGGCGTGCATTAATGAAACGACTTGCTCCTCTTTTTGAGCAGAATGTGGAAAATATTCAAGCAAAAAAGGCAAAATGCATTCATGAGTGTTGGAGAAAAGATTGACACTGTTCAGGGGATTCAACAGATACAATGTCAGAGCGTCGTGCAGCATCAACAGGTGGAGGGGAAGTTATCGTGTGGTTTTGCTGATTCGTATTCCGGTCGCTCTCTGGGACCTTCCGTCAGAATATGAATCAGTAACAGCGGTGCGGATGGAGGCCAAGACCGGAAGATAACAAGACCGTTTACGTTTCAGTAGCGCCATAACTATTTTCAGTCCATGCATTTGCAAAAGCGACTGTCGAGGCTGCTGAATTTAATTTTCAGTTTGTAAAAACTGAAAAGGCCGCCGATACGGGATGATGTTCATTGGTTTTGTACGTGTTGTGTGTGTGTGTGTGTCATCTACACTTTCCTTCACCCTTGACTTGCTGTATTGGCCAATAAGTAGATTATGTGCAACTAAAATAAGACATAAGAACGGAGGGGAAAGAGGGCTGAAAGGAGGTAAAGCGGGGTGTGAGGGGGGGGGGGGGGTAAAAAAAAATCCTCAGTCAACCAAAGCTCTGCATGTGGCCCTTCTCTCCTGTATCACTACTTGAGTTTCAAAGTGGGCAATTAGTCGTGGGGTATTCCCACGTTCAGAACTCTGTTCGTGTTAATGCGCGCTGAAAAGAAAGATTTCTTTTGAGACATAACATGAATGAGAGGGGGTGGGAGAGGAGGGGCAGATAAGGAGGGAAGAGGGGATCAGAGTGGAGGCTGATTCCCCTGGCCTGTGGTCTGTTACCACTGATAAGGTGGATCAGCAAACCAACACACACACACACACACACACACACTATGTATCCACACACACAGTGTATCAAAGCCGGTTCTTTAATCACAATCCAGCCACACAAGGAGCCGTCTGTGTTACAGGATTCTATCACATCCTGTAACACAGACGGCAAATCGCAAACACAGACAATTCTCTGATTTGGTAGATTGAAAGTGGTTAACTTTCATTGACACAGAGAGACAGTATCAGACCCCCCCCCCCCCCCCCCCCCCCCGGCGACCCCCACATGCCCTCCCTTTATTGGTTTCCCAGGTAATTGATCAAACATGAGACTCTGCTTGGTTTAATCCAAAGAAAGGAGTCCAAGAAATGAACCGAGAGCAAAGTGACCTAGATAGAGGGCATCAGTTTCTTGTTCATCGTGTATCCGATGAAGCTTCCTCTTTGTTTTTAGGACTCAACCTGAGGAATTATCAGCATTGTTTTGCCTTGACCCAAAATTAAAAAAGCTTAAGTTGATGACCCCCCCCTATAGTAAACCATTGTTTACGTAGCCCGTGTCAAGTCCGTCATTTTCTCTTTCCGGTGACTATGAAAATGCGACGTGACACTTCTGCATGGAGGTGCTTTGAATTCTTCATGCTTTGCAGTAATGGTCCTAAATGAGGTCATTGCCACTTGTGACATGTAAACGCACACACTTATTACATGACATAAGCGTTCTATAGAACAGTGTATGGCTCAGAGTAGTGAAAGGTCAACTGTGCACAGCCACTGTGCTTTCTCTTCTCTGCCTTTGAATACAGCATTTTATATTTACCTGTATATGGAGACATTTTCTATGAGGTCTGTGGTCTCCGTGTCCGTCATGATGATGCCCTTCGGAGAGACCGTCAATGTTACTTTACGAAACTTCTTGGCACCGGCCCTGGCCTGTGAGTATGGAAAACACATTTAGATCGAATGCAGAACATCTGGCCAAAGAGCTGCTGCTTGACATGAATGCAACACCGTCACAACACCAAAGACCCTGAAAAATGCCACTGTTGCTGTCGTGCAAAATTAGGCAGCACGCTTGAGTTGTCCCAGAAATGAGGGGAATTCATGGAAAGGTGACAGAGCTCGGGGGAGGAAAGCTGCAATGTGCTGCCCGGAATGAAGGCTACACATTGCAACAACCCCCCCCCCCCGCCGCTCTGCTCCCTCTGGAGCTTCAGAAAATACGGCCAAAGTGCTGAGCTTGCGTTCTGCGGCGGCGCCTTTCGACGACAACGACAATGACATCCAATGACCTCCTTAACATCCAATTAGCAAGCGAATGAGAGCAGTTTACTTTCACATCCCAACCGGTATCGGGCTCAGAATCAGCAGAATGACAGAAATACACTAGGGAAAGAAAAGAAAAGGGTTCCATTGTCACACTGCACATTTTACACATTCACTCTGCATGGAAGCGACTTTGTTTCCGCGGAAGGTGAAACGAAAGCCGACAGGGGAGAGGAGCCGAGGATGAAAGGAAGTGGGATCTTTGCTTAAACGGGAACAAGGACTTCTGAAGGACAGAAGGAGCGGCGCCCAGGGGGCGGGTGGGGGGGTGGGGGGGGGTTTGCTGTGGGAGCCTCAATGCCCTGGAGATGGTGACAAGGAACAGCACATGCTGCTTAAACTCATAACAGAAGGAGAACAAAGACCGTTTGCTGACTGTGGCAGCTCCCTCACGCAAGAAGTGCTAACCGCCACTTTTCCTCGTTACTCGCGCGGTGCCACGAGGCGGAAACCCATCTGTCAGCTCGCGATACGCGAAGTCCAGGCCTTCTCCCAGCGTTTGATCCCTCTGTGTTGTCTTATCATGCCCCGAAAGGAGCATATAGCAAGGGGGAAAGTCACAAATGTATTCAGTAATCTCCATCCAGGTTTGAATGGTTCCAAGGGAACAGACAGAAGACAACGGAGTGCTTTCCTGTCCCGGTGTACTCAATTGATCTTATCCCGCATTAGTTTCGTTGAGCTCTATTGAGAAGTGTGCACAGAGAGAGGTATGATTAGGATGCCTTTGCCGGGCTTTTCTTTGTGTAGACATTCTTCATTGTTGGCAGCGCTCAGTGAGCGGGAGAAAAATGGGAAGAGGAAATGAAATGTATGCAAATTTGTGTGCAGAAAAACACGCAAAGCAGTTTTGCGTTTGTCTACAGGTTCACCAGTCGAATCGCAGCAGTAGTTTCACAGTTTTGTGAAAACGGACGGGATTCTGAACCGATGAAGAAAGTCGTGCCCCAAAAATCCCCCACGAGGCTCAGTGTTGTTCAGTAAACATCATAACACTGATTCGACTGCTGCACATGTGCAACTACTGATAATCCTGGATTAGCAGCTACGTCGCTGACCTTGGCATAAACATGACTCAACTACAACTGCAAAACAGAAAGTGATGACACAGGTGGTCCACTTCAAAAGTTTTTCGGCACAGAACTTTCGTTTGAATGGACTTTTCCCAATTTGCTAACTTGAAAGGCGACAGTTTGCACTGAGAATGGACGACAACGAGTGTACACAAGGATTATATTTCCACGAGAATGCATTTATAGAGGTGGGAGTAACTACAGCTGCAGCGGTGCTGCGAGTTCTATTATCCCGTAATAATTTAAGCATTCGTTCAAATAACACGCACATGCAGTTTGAGGCTATAATTTCACAAACCCCCCTCGAGGGTTCCTATTAAAAGCTTCGACATAATTGAAATCTGTCACAATGTCACTCTTGAAATTTCCCGTTGCTGTTGAAGATCCCGACCTAAGGATTGATCGAATCAGCCCTATTATGTGTATAAGAATACGGCATTCTGCACTTCCTATGCAAACAAAGTATAATGTGCATGACCGCACGAGTCAGAAGGACGCCGGTGACTCACCGTGGAAACGATTCTGCGGATGGCAGCGGAGGCCATCTCCTCTCCTTTGGGCTGACCCACCAGAGTCATTCCCAGGTATTTCACGTTGAATACCATCCCCTCCAACAGCGTCTCCTTGGTGTCTGTCCAGTTTTCCGGCAGCTCTGCTTGGACAAAAACACAAAAGAAATGAGAGATCACCACAATGCTTTGATCCGGCATTGTTTGCTGAGCAGACTGTTTACGACACAACGCATGAGCGTTGGCCGAGTAACGTCACATCCGAGCAGACAGGTGTGTGTAAGTACAGACCTTTGCAAAACTCACGACTGACATGATTGTTAAAAAATGCCGGAGCTCTGCAATATGTTTTCTAATTACACCATTGCAAGCAGAAAGTCACCTGTGCAATTCTACTGGGAGTACAAACTCATGGCCGATGGTTTAATTTGTCTACGAAGTGATCGTGGAATTTGACACTGTGCTTATTTCTGAATTTGATTACATCCTATTTCAGCTGACGTCTGCTATTATTCTCTCCTCAGGGGAGAAATGCTGCACAGGCCCGACAAACGCGGCGTCAGCTGGGCTCCTGTCCTGCTTTTGCTGTGACTCCCAACCGGCAGCGACACCTCACACTGGAGCATCAGTGGAGACAGACAACTTACAAAACCATGCAACAGACCACATTCTGGGACAAACTTGATGGGGGGCAATGAGCGAAACGTGATGTCTCCCCTCTCCGGAGGTATTTCTGCTCAAACGCACGCGTGAAAGTGTATTGTAAGATTTAAAAACAGAGAGCAGGAAAGATAAAAGCGACGCACACACAATGGCTGTCTAACGCTCCACTGGGCTTTTCTGGCACCAAATTCTCCAAATGGGCCGAGCCATCTGTCACTGGCAGGCCCCATGCAGCTGTGAAGGCGAACGGCGGAGAACACCATCCCTTTACAACGCGTCCGAAAAGCGATGAATTATTAACTAATCTTCAATCGTACAATGGGGGGGCTGCTTCAAAACCAGAGAGCACATTTCATTAACATGTATTAAACAGCATGGCTTTGATGGCGGGCAGCATGGCTGGTTGGCTGCTTTTCGAGCGTTTCTGGGTGAGAGGGTCTGTAGTGATTGAAAATATCGTATTTCGTCTAATTGGCACTGGGACATTTAAAAAGCAATTCATGGTTGTGAGCCTGAATGTTCACACTCGCTGTGGATTCACGATGCTCTTCAACGCGCTAAGGATCCGCGAGGGAGGAATTCATCCTGTCGCTTTCCCCTCCGCACAGGAGCTCAGAGGTCACGGTCAGTTGGGGGGGTTCAGTTACGGCCCTCTGATATCCGCAATGCGGAAAACACAAACAGATGGTGATTAAGATTCAATCAGAAGAAGCGTGCATCAGAAGCATCACCTTGCAGGCTTAAATACCAAGTATCACTTCCAAAAACGTAAAAGATGCCTCAACTTGATCTTTCTTTCAGTATATTTTTTGGGGTCGGCCAAAGATGGGATACAGCGAGATGTATTGCATGCTTGTGTTGTCACATCAACACAATGCTCAAGTGCCAGAGTCCATGTTGTGTCTTCGGCAAGCTACAAGCATTAAATATTAAGGAACTTCATGTTGGTGCTGCAGGGTTTCCAATATATCATCCGCGTTCAATTTTTAATAAATCCTGCGTATACAGAGGGACCGCCGATAAGAGTGACAGGCGCAGGCAGAGGGAGGCTAATTGGATTTTAACATGTTTAGGAAAATACTGGGGGAGGGGAGGGGCTGAATATGTGCAATTTCAACTTTTATTGTTCTCTATGGTACATTTGTCATCTGTGTGCTACCGTGCTAAGAGTGTGTCTAGATGCTCTAGATTAAAAGATCACGAAACGAGATTGGGGAGGGAGAAGCAGCAGCACTTTCACACACAGGCTGTTGCAGCAAGTGCGCTGAATCCATTATGTTCGCTCAAAAAGCCTCACGGTAGGGACACGCGCTACAGGAATCAGTGCACCACAATGAAGGCGCATTCGAAGACACAGCATTTGGAATAGCATCGCCGGGAGATACTGAACGCTGTGAGAAAACATTCAGAATGAACAGTTTCGTAGCGAGTGATGTGACTGCCGCGGTGTGATAGGCGCCACGCGCCCTGCGCGGCCTCAGCAGCATCCAGTGACCCCCCCCCCCCCCAGCTGTTTCTAGCTTGAACACTTCGTAATTGAATGTGTGAATTCTGCTCTGGTTGAACACACTGGCGGTTAATTAAAAACAGAAGCGCACAGATACGCACACAGGCACGACACGGCATGAGAGGGGCGAACGTGCTTGCAGGCCGGGGGGGGGCACACAGACTGCAACAGATACCGTTATTTGACCTTAATGCAAGGAATCCGTCTGTGTGAGAGTACATCCTTTGCATAACTCAATGGCCGTCCATCCGATCCACTTCAACAACAGCGTTCTGTTCAGGTCACCGCGGCACCTGAGTCTAACTCTCTTTTACTTTGGCCGGACGAAGCAACGAGCGGTTCTCGATAGCGCTGCAAGCAGCACTTTTCCAGGGGCCGAACAATCAGTCCAATCCGACCACGGCCATTTGCTGTAAAGCGAAAGCTGTTGGAATAAGATTGTGCTGATTGATAAAATAAAAACAAGCATTCTCTGTTTTCAGGAAGTAGGCCATTCCCGTCACAGCATCCTGGTTCAAATCCAATGGAATAAGTACAACACAAGTGTGTGAGAAGGGAAACTTTTGAGACCCAAGTGACACCTCCATCCTCCACATCATTAGAATATCATTTCTTTGCCTTCCTGTTTTACTCATCCGATAGAACTTTGAATCTAGGACACCACCTTGACAGGAAAATAGGCCGAACATTCAGGGAAGATGGTGGGCTGAGAGGGTGTGTGTGTGTGTGTGTGTGTGTTTAACTGGTTCCTCATACTGTCTTGAGGGGGAACCGAGTAAAGCTTTCAGACTCTTCTTCTCACCATTTTCTTAATTCTATCCCTCAACACCTATTTGACCTACTGCATCTCATTATTCACTTCCTCCAATGGAACCAACACATAAAAAAAGTCCCCCTGTTCACATATAAGAGATCATCTTTAAGGGGGGGGGCTTGGGAATGGAGATGGATCGAACAGCTTATGTTGCTAGGCAACCACTGATCGTACCACTAACAGCCCAGCAGCAGGTGGAGGTGGTACCTGCACATTACATTACTAAAGCCATTGGCAAAGCATCAAAGGAGGTGCACGAACGACATCTGAAAAGGGTGGAGTTATCGCCCGCTTCAAACTGGAGCACTACATCAAACTCCCGAATAGGAAATTAGATATTATAAATATTATAATAATTATGAATCCAGTGTGATAAAGGGTTCAGCTACACTTACGGTCACTTACTAACAGATGAGGTGCTGTCTTCTAACTCCATATCCTTCGACCTCCTTCTTCTACAGCAACTCAGAAAAGTCAAATGAAATCAGTGGAAGTCAAATACGATCAAAAAATTGATTATTTTATTACATGGTCTATTTTTCTACATCATTAGTATTAAACAGTTGGAAATCATTTGATCGTTGCTCTTCGGGGGAGGAGGAGGAACCACAAATATTTTGATGCCTTGTTCCTTAATGAGTGTTTACTTTAGCTTGGATGCTGTGACACGATATGATATTGAGTTATTAAGTATAGTTAAAAACACAAAGCACAACATGATGAAAGACGTTTCCCTAATGTCTTTAATGTCTTCCTGGCTTCCACCAAGAGATCAGGAACTGTCCTCCTCAGGATCGTTGTATCTTTTAATTAGACAGGATCAAACCGAGGATCTCAAACAGCGCTGAGAGGCTTATCTTATTTACTCAAACAATCGAGTTTGGTCCTCAGAAGGAGAGAACACTCGTTTCCTTCACTCCAATTTCAGAAGTTGTAGCCCCCTGGTCCAGAGAAACTGACTTCATTTTTTATTTTCTTTGACTTCACTATTATGTCTCATTCTCATCATGGTAAAATGGTGTTATTTTTTAAATATTACATAAATTCTGGTATTGTTTCTTTTCTTATTTCAACCGTGGCCATTTCCTCATATGCTGAGTACGGGTCCAAACAAATTGCCCCGTGTTGACTAACAAGGTTAGTCTGAATATGACTAATTCTGAATATGACTAATTCAGAATATGATTCCCTGGCGAGCGACTCTCTTATTCTTCTGCACCTGATGACCTGCGTCTCCGGGATCCGAGGGGCTTCTCCCGAGGGGCTCCTTGGATCCCAGTCCCTCCTCCACCCTCCCAAACCTATTCCCAATCAAGCAGCCCCATAATAAATAATGGCTTTATTCAGAAAACCCTGTGTGGCGTCATTTAAAAGTGTATTTGTGTGCAGCCAATTAATCAAACAACATTGCCAGAGGAGAGATAGTTTGTCACACAGACAATCGCCTGACAGTTATAGTTTATTATTGACTAAAAGGTATTTTAGGGGAGATGACATCAGAGGAAATGTCCATTGAAAGCACCTTGAACCATTTTGTATTGTGTGACAAAGCTTTTACTGTGCTGCTCTCTGTTAAATCAATCCTTCTGAGATGTCCATGTGGATCTTTCCTAATGCCATTTCGTTGCTAAGGCAACAGCTTTGGTCCAGGTTTACTTCCTGGCAGCAGCGGCTACAAAAAAAACACTGCAACAGGAATACAAAAGGGGCCCATTGTTTCAAAACGAACAACCGGGATCAATTTTCTCCCAAAGGAATGAATGCACATTCCACATTTCCAAAGAAGTCTCCAAAAGTAGAAATGGAATTTTTACACCCTGAACCACTGAGAAAATATATCAATTCTCATGTCCTGTATGGCAAGAAAAATGGGTCATATCTAAATTATGAGCTATTGTTCAGTACAGTGCAAGATCACAAGAGAAAGAGCAGACATTATGCAAAAATAACATAACCACATTAACAACACAGTTACTAAAGGAAATCTTTCCTCACGGCCATTTATTCATAAAGCATAATTGCTCAGAACCGTTGGAGGATTGTTTTCATTAGCAATTCAAACAAGGAACGATTCTTTCTTTGCTGATACAGATCTTTTTCCCCCCTGGAGGATGCCGGCTCCCATTTTGACTTCTTCATCAACTGTAAAAAGCTCCCGT